TGAAACTGCTGCTTCACTTGGAAGAAACCCCAATTCCATCATTTCATTCATCATCTCCAGACCAGCCTCAAAATTTTGTATTTTGCATAAGCCAAACACTAATGTACGGTAGGTAACCACATCAGCTTTCAATCCTCGTGAAGCCAAACCATTCTTGATCTCAAGCGCCTCACAAACTCTCTGGCTCTTGCAAAGACCATGGATTAGCACATTATAAGGAACAACACTCAAATTGCAGTGATTGGACTCCATCCAATTAACCACATTTCTGGCTCTATCAAAATCCTTCAGTTCACACAAACTTCGAATCACCACTGTGAATATATAAACATCCAGTTCAATACCTGCACTTACAATCTCATCAAACACTTCCAGAACACACCCAAATTGCCTCATTTTAGCCAACCCATTTAAAAGCGCACTCAGAGTCCTAGCTTCAGGCAACAAATTACAGCTATACTTCTTCATTAGCCTAAATATCACTACACCATCAAAAGCTTTCTTATTTAGCACATAATGTTGAATCAACAAATCAAACCCCAAACTCGAATTAAACTTACATTTCTCATAAGAACACAAGAGAGCATCCAAAACCTCTTTTGTGCTCAACCCACGAAGCAGAAGCGTCTGCAAGAGCGACGAAGCAGGCCAGAAGAGATTAACATCTACCAAAGCATGAACCAAAATGCAAAACGACGCCATTGAATGGGGAAAGTTATTGTGCAGGCCCAGGAAATTGAAGAACCTCAAAGCTAACCTAGGATCATCTAGGGTTTGGATCAGCACCTCCTCAACATGGTAAGGTTTCAGCATCGTTAAAACGCCCGCTTCGTTCAATGCGACTGTCCAGCTCCGTTTCCCCCGAACGATGCTCCTAAGGGTAGCGATGAGATGCGAGTCTCTTTCGTCATTATCTTGGGCGGTGAATCTGGACGCACAAAATAATCTATCTTTTGTGAAGAATTTTGGGTTTCTGAGACATTGATGAGAGCGAATGAGCTTCATTTCCGCTTCAAATTAGAGCTTCTCTTTGAGTTTGAGGCAAAGAAAGTTCGCAGTTTGAGCTCACCGTGAGTTTCTCATACGGCGAATGGGTAGCGGGTCGGGTACACGATCCGGTTTATGACTTGGATTGAGGCCCAAATAAGAAAGGACACCAAGCTGATTTGGCGTAACAAAAAATAGTTTGAGGACAAATACAAATGAGTTTTACAAGTTTAAGGATTTATCTCTGTCATTTTGCTTTGGTTTTACTTCTGGAGGGAAAGTGAAATTCTATTCCATTCGATCGGTGGCATTCCAACCAAAGAAGTTTGTACCGTTTCGTATAGGTAGTATGATCGGTATATATCGATTTTTGGGTGGAATGAAACGGAATGAGTTAGAATTTCATTTCGGTCAAAATTTGATAATTTTGATCAAATTTCTACGTATCACTTAAAATTTCGACGTACCGTTTAAAATTTCGTGTACCGACTGATATATCGAAATTTAACCAGTATATTATGCAAAAATTTAAAGAAAAAAAAGATTCCCTAGCCAAAATAATGTCATTTGGCTAGAGGCGACTTAATATCTCATATGTTCTCACATCCAGCTGTCGTTGACATTCTTCCATTTTTTATACAATTGCTCGATACAATTCAATTCAAATTAAAAAGAGTAAATTTCAATTTTAGTTCTTAACTTTAATATTTTACATAATTTTTATCGTTTAGCTTTTTTATGTACTTTTTTAGTATATTCTTCATTTTTTTTTTAGTCCTTCTATCAATTACTCCGTTAAGTTTATCTAAATACACACCTCTTTAATCCCTTAATTTAAAATGGATGGACGAAAGATATACATATATTAGAAGTTGAGGGATTAAAAATGATCATTTTAAACTTGTTTTTAGTTTATAAGAATATAATAGTTTTAAATATTAGTATATCTTATTTTATTTTAAAATTTGATATTTAATTTATAAAAATATATATTTATAACGATAAATTCGAAACAGTACGCACAAAATTTCAGTCTCTAGTATGTAACGTTCTAGTAACAAAATCAGTACGCATACCGGTACGGTATTGACTTCCTTGATTTCAACACCAACCAACTATCCAAACCAACTAAGATCAATAAATACCATGGTGCCACGTTTCTACCCTCTTCTTCTTTCATGCAAATAACGTTGATCTCTAAAATTCAACGGTCACAGTGAGCCACGTCATTAATCTACGTTATGATATCTCCCAATTAAATACAAGTTTTATTCGCTATATATAAGCTCAAGCCCAAGCCCAAGCTACTAAACACCTTGTTTTCTAAATACGTGTTTGAAATTGTTATAAAGTGTTACAATTATAGTTATGGTTGTACTTATATTAAATTATATAATATTGTAATTATGGTTAAAAGTTATTATGGCGTTTGATTATTTATTTTTTAAAAGTATTATAAATGAAATATAATAGATTTTATTAATTATTAATTAAAATTTTAAAAATATTATAAAATATATAATTATTAAAATAAATAATATTTATTCTTTTTTAATCATTTAAGTTTTTTTATTTGTTATCATTATTAAAATATTATAAATTATGATGTAATTAAATTATACGAAATTGAATTTTAGTGGGTAATTTTGTAATTATATTAAATATTAAGTGTTTTTTGTAAAAA